TCCAACTCGGGCTGGACGTTTGTATGAAATAGGGAAAGACGTGTGGTTCCACTGAACAGGGTCAGCGTATGCAGGACATAAACCACCTTCCTCCGTGTCGGTCCATCCCACTGCCTGAGGTTAAAAGGAGTCTCGGTGAGTAATTTCCCGTTACGAGGTTTGGGATATCAACCTCTCATGGAGAGAAGATGCAGGGTGAGAGGGGCGGTTAGTCAGCTCTGGTCTGGCAGGTCTTATTTCTTACGGTGACGTGATGTTCTGTGAGTCTGAGACTAAACTCTGCCACGACTGCCACGGCAGGTCTAGGGCAAGTTGTTTTACCCTCCTTTCAGAGGTATCTAAATCTTTCTAGAGGTGGTAATAAATGGGGATGGGGGACGCGCAAATAGTGATGAAAAAGGGTTAGGAAACGCTTGGGGGGCATGGGGGCTGGAAGGCTGTTGGGAGTTTATTATTAATTTTTTTTTTTTTTTGGACTACAGCATCACTGCTGGGAAAACACAATCCGGACAGCCAGGACTCATTATCCATTATGAGATATGGCCAGGATTAGGCAGGTTTTAGGCTGTCGCTTTTGGCCATTTCTCTCATTACAGGCTTACAGCAGCTGCCTTATCTCAGAGAGCAGCACTTTTATTAGATAGGAGACCAAGTAAGTGAGGAAATGATCCAACAGCAGGCAAGAGGCCTGGACAAAGTGATGTCTTGAGGTGGTGGCCACGTTGCCTTGTTCTGTCCTGTGAGAGTGCCCGGAGAGCTCTGGGCGCCGCCTGCCCAGGGCAGGGTGGGAGCAATCCGGGGCTTTGGTCAGCTCTCCTGCAAAGAAAAAACACCAAGCACCTGCAGGCGCCAGCAGCAGCCCTGGGCAGGGCCAGGCAGCCGCCAGCCTTCCCTCCCGCCCAGCTCGGGACGTTTCAGGGTTCTTCAAAGCTGTGAAACGTCCTCCGCGAGGCTGCTGCCTGTGTCCTGGCGGCGCGGGAGCGGCCGAGGCGGTCGCCTGCCCCAGAGGACTCCGGGAGCTGGGTGGGGGGCCCTGCTGTTCCACCCCTGTGCTCAGAACATCTGATTTTCTCCCGCTCCTCAGTTAATCCGTAGGAGCGCAACCTCCTGCTGCTGCTTTTTCCCGTGGGGTGCCGCAGCGCTGCGCTGGGGACGCCCCAGCTGCCCCCCTCAAACACAGTTCTTGCTCAGAGCCCAGCGCTGGGCTCTGTCACGCACCAGCCCCCCCTTTGCACAGTTTGATGCCGCGATTTACCCCGACCAGATGGAACAGGTAGGAAACCCTCTCAACTCCAGCCACCGGCTTCAAGAAATGTTTCCCATTTACGGCCCCCCTCCACCCCCTGCCCCTAGCTATTGCAGAGCTTTTTGCTTTACCGGTCTAGGAGCATGAGACAGAATGTGCTTTTGTGCTAAATCAAATGAATCCTGCCTTGCTTGATGTTTACTTGCCTGTTTTCATTGGGTCTTCTCTTCCTGGGTTCCCCTGGGGTAAGTACAGATTTCTCAGGCTCCCAGGGTTTTGCGCTGGGAGTCTGCAACTTCACACTTCGCTGCTTCCTATGTAAGAACCTAAACTTACTGCGTCCCCCTCAGAGCACAGAGCGGAAGCTCACACGCTGGTTTTCAGCAGGCGAGCTCGCCTGGCACCTGGTGAGCAACAACACATCAGCTTGGGTATGGAGTCTGAGGCACTGAACCCAGCAAACACTGCTGGGAGCTCCCAGCCCTGATGAGAACTGAAATACTGGTGTGCTCCTACCCGGGCTGTCCAGCCATGACAGTCTGAATGGGAGAGCTCAGGGGCTGCAGGACGGGTTTTAAAATGGCTCCTTGAGACAAGAGGCTGAACCTGTATCAACAGGAGAGATGCTTTAAATCCCGATGAGTGAAACTGATTTTTTTTTTTTTTCTAGACCTCTTTTGGAGGCTTTGGGTCCCTCTGGCGAAACCCCCAAGGAGGAACTCTGGAGGAACTTTTCCCCTTTCGCGTGGGAAAGGATGGAGCAATCTGAGCACAGGCTAAAACAAAGGCTTAAAGGAGGAGCTATTCAACCGTTGGCTGTTAAAGCTGCTTTGAAAACGTCACGTGTTGGGCATATGGGCTAAAATTCACCAGGAGGTGAAAGCTTGTTGGGAGGAGACTAGTTCTCGATTCACTTGTCCCGCACCCAACCCAAAAGGGCCCAGTTTGTGATGCCGCCACAAAGGCAGCAGCCACAGTCCGCAGCCAAAAAGTCCCCCCGCACATCCAGGCAGCCCCTTTTCCCCGGCCGCGCTGTACGGACGCTGCTGGGAAGCCGTCGGGCTGCCAGACCTGGGGAGCAGGGCGTCTGGTGAGAAGTGGCTGGCTGGAGGAGAGCCAGGCCCTGGGCTTGCTCTGGATCATATCCCGGCTTGGAAATGCCCCGCAGCCCCCCCTGGGTTTGGGTCAGGTGTTCAGTACGCAATTTTATTTGCTGATGAGTGACCTGACCCTTTCTTGCTCATCTCAGCAGAACCGACCGAGTGACTGGAGAGAATTTTTCCTGGTTATTGCATGAGTTTTCTAAATACGTCGTTCGACGAACCGCAGGCCGGCTCTGCGTGCGTAGCCGTGAGTCTGTCAGCTTGTTGCTCTGCGGCTGCGCTCTGCTCAGGTGGGAAGGGGAATTTCAATGGGAAGCAGTTAGAAAAATGACAAAGGAAATGTCTAATGCTTCACGGCACCTCTGCCACCCGTCAGGTGTTCACGTAACACGTGGGCATGTCGGCGGTTCTCAGTGTCTGCAATCACTGCTGCTTCTTTTTAATTTTATTTTTCTAAAGAACCACAGAGAAATGATGGAAGCTGGGAGGGAAAGGCTACACTGCTGTTCTCTTTCCTGCTTCTTACATCTGTGTCAATGTTCACTTTCGAAAGCGCTCTCATTTTAGTCGCTATTTTCTTATTGCTGGCAAGCAGAATTGATAGAAATATTGATCTCCTTTTAGTGAGTTTTAAAAGAAAAAAAATGAGCGTGACTCAGAGTAGCGAGGTAGTATAGACTGATTGATGGGTCTTATTTTTTAACTGCTACTGATGTATCTCCTTGGAATTCGCTCTGGTTTATTATTTTCCTTGCCCAGACTGGTACTTACTTGGGTTTTGTGGCTTGCGGCAAAGGTGTTTGCATTTTGCCAGCTGCAGTCACAGCCTGTGTCTTCCTCTACCTTCGGCAGAAGTTGGCTTTCCAGCAGCCCCAGGGCATGGGATGCTCCAGGGCATGGCCTGACCTGGTCTGGCAGTGACCTTGGGCAGCAGGGAGGAGAAGCTGGGCCTCTCCGCTCCTCTGAGCCCCCCAGCAGGGCAGCGGCCAGCAGAGGACCCTCGGGCTCCCTCCACACCCTCGGCGCTGCCTCCCGCTCCCACTGGTGCTCCTGGTCCTCCAGCACCATCTACAGTCGTCCGCAGGCTGAGGAGATGCTCCAGTGCCACCGGGTACGGGGACCAGGAAGGGGTCAGCTGCTGAGCCAAGGGGATTTGGGGGATTTTTGCAGCCTCGTCTGCTGCCTCTCAGCCTTCCGGCCGAATCGCTAAATGAGAGAGGGGGCCTGGAGAAAAATAACATCCAAACCAAACAACCACTTCCTCCCTAGTTTTCTCTAGCTGAGCGGTTGCAAGGTGCCAGGCTGTCAAGGGAGCCCAACCTCAGGGAAGGTGTAACTTGGGCTCCGCGGAGGCCCTGAGCAGTGCTGCGGGTCCCGGGGAGCTGGGGTGTGTGTGTGTCTGTCTGTCCGTCTGCTCCCTGCGAGCCAACGGCTGCGCCCGGCACCGCCTCGCCCCGTGGCACGACACCCGCGACGTGCCGCTGTTCATCGGCAGCGCGGAGCCCCCGCCTCAACCTGCAAGACAGGGCTGTCATGAAATATTCATGGGAGTTTCCTTGAGTAAACAGCATTAAAAATTCATCGATATTTTGAGCAACAAGACATCAGCTGTATCTTTCGGGGATGGAGAAGTATGTAAATAAGAAAAGTCTTTCTTTGAAGCAGCTACTGAAGTCTGCTTCAGCTGCCTTTTGTATTTGAGACACGCTGAAAGCTGTACTCGGTCTCCTCTCTCCTGAAGGGACATGAGGCTTCTCACTCACTTAATTGGAGAAGGTTGTCTTAATATTTCTGGTTAGGGTGTAGTCAGCCTGAGGAACCGTCAGCGCAGCCAGTGAGCTGCCGGTGCAGTCGAGGCGGTGGGGCTAAACTCCCAAGCTGAACCGAGAGCTGCTGTTTGACCTTTTTTGCTCTTTGTGTGCAAGAGGTAAAAGCCCAGAAGGACAATCCAGCGCCCAGGGCGGTGGGGCTGACCCTGGAGGTCTCCACGCACGCAGGGTGGGGAGGACCTCGCTGAGTGACGGGGGCCCACCACCCCTTGCCAGCGCCCGCCTAACGCAGCCTGCGGGCAGGGAAGTTGTGCTTTACACATCGCAGCTGGCAGGCGCTTGGCGTGAGCCGTGGGGGGGGATAAAGAGCAGCTGCAGGCTGTCTTTTCTGATCTGTGCCCAGTTTAGGACATGTTGTTCCCCCATGTCTTGTCTCTCTGAACGTAACTGCTAACACGGAGCGGTTGGTCCGGAGCTTCGTGCCGCCCGTGCCGGGGTCTGCCCGTGCCTCGGAGCCCCCCCAGGCCCGGGGGCTGCCGCTGCTCCTCAGCAGTTTTTCAGTTGGTGTTTCTCATAGGGCAGCAAAGCAAAACAATGGGGAAGGGAGGCGGCAGCAGGTGGAAGATGTGTTTGGGAGCTGAGGCAGCTCGACAGCTGCTGGTCTCGCTCGGTGCAACACTGGGGAGGGGTGGGAGCGTCCCCCCGGCGCTCCCCAGCCTGAGCAGCATGATCCTGGGAGCAGGGGGAGGGCGGCTGAGCCATCGGCCCTGTCAGCAGGAGGGCGGGGGACCCCGAAACAAGGGCTCCCTTCAGCGGGCGCCGTGCGGTGCGTGTGCTCGGCGTCGCACCGGGAGTGTGCGGAGGGAAACCTGAGCTGGTTCACGGGAGCCCCGTGTGCTGGGCGCCAGTGGCTCAGCACCAGCCCCAAGCAGCAGCTGCCTGGCTCCGTGGTGTCACGGTGAGGGGCACTTCCCTGCCTCGCCCCCTGCTGTAGCAGCCAGCCTGGGCAGCGGGGTCACCGCCCGGAGCTTGGCCCCTTCCACGAGTCCTGCTCTTTGGCGCTGGTCTGCTCCCCGGGACTCCGCCGCTTTCCCAGAGCCCAGCCTTAGCCGAGCGCTTTCCAACAACCCTCCTGGCGCTGGGGGTGCCATGCAAAGCCACAAGAGCCCAACAGCAGAGCCGAGGAGGGAAGCGAGGAGGACACGGGCCTCCCCGGCACACGGTGGGTGAGCTGTTTGTGGGTTTTGGTAACAGGGGGGCCCCTCGAGTCTTGACCTCCTGCAGAATTCATGGCCTTAGCTCACCCCCTCCTGGCGCTGCGGGAAGGGGTCGTGTGAGTCCTAGAAACGGGAATATAATGACCCGGGGGCTTCACCAGGGGCTTGGCAGTGCTGCGAGAGACGGACAAGACTATGCTAATCCCCTCTGCCTCTCTGTTTCTTAAAGATTCTGCCAATGCATCTCTCGAGACTCTCTGCACCGTCAGGAGGCTGCTCCTGCTGCTCGGGGTTGCGGGGCTGCTGGCGGGGACAGCGGCTGGGACGTGGCTCCTAGGTCAGTGTCTGCTCCGGGCCAGCCCGGCCGCTGCGGGCAGAGCCCAGGCGCCCAAGGGGCGAGTGAGCCCGGGCTGCGGACAGGGAGGTGCTGGGGGGGCAGCTCCGTGGCCAGTGGCCAGGGGATGTGGCTGGGGCGTGCTCTGCTGTTGGCTGCTGTGACAGCGAGCTGCACCCGCGCCCGGTGAGGGGCTCGTCACCCTTCCAGTGGCAGCGCGGGGTTGTTCCCGGTGTGGTGCATCCGCGGGTGCTGCCCGGGCTGTGTGGGGCCACCTCCACCCCTCCTCTGTTTCCTGAAGCGAAACACCTGAAGCAGCCTCAGCCAGACCAGGACTTCACCCAGCTGCAGGAGCCGGCTGCGGTCCCAGCGTGCGGCGACGGGGAAGAGGAAGACCCTGTGGTCCGGGGGACGCCCAGCAGAGGTTTGCCCCTTTGCCACCTGCCCGAGGGTGGGGAGGGTGGCGCGCTGTGCAGGACAGCGCCTGCCAGGCCCCGCAAGAACAGAAAAGATGTTCTTTAATAATGATTATCTCCTGCTGATCCACTGCCTCCTTTCGGCTGCACATTGTGGTTGTTTCGCTGCACGCAGCGATCCGACGGCAGAGGCGACTCTTGCAGGACTCCTTCGCGTGTAATCACTCGGCAGAGCTGCCACGTGGGCACTGAGAACATGCAAATCCTTTCTAATTGCTTCAGATGTTTTTTTTCTGGAGCTTGGGGTTTGGATTTTTTTTCGGTTTAGATGTGCACGACCATCCACTGCGCCGGCCCTGGGCAAAACACTGCAGGGAAGGGAATTTGCAGGTTGTCCTTAGTGGAATGACTTCAGTGTCTTTCAGAATAAACGCGGCAAACTCCTTGCTGGAAGCGCAGGTGGGGGGCCGCCCTGGCTGGCTCCTGGCATGCCACGAGCGCTGGAGTCTCTCCCTGGGCACCCTGCTCTGCCGGCAGCTTGGCTATCTCAGGTGGGTACGGCAGAGGCGGCTGTTTCAACCCCCGCTCCCCTTTTCGGAGGGGAATGAATTGGGCAAGAGCAGGTGCCTGAAGGCCAGGAGGTTTGTCCGGGCAGCAGAGCCAGATCTCACAGGGCCCTGGTGAATGCAGGGCGGAAAGCAGGGCTCGGGGCTGGGGGGGAGCTGCAGAAGAACATCCCTGCCAAGGACGTTCATTCCGGACTGCCAGAGCAGCAGGACTGTGGCCGGTTGTTCCCATGGCAGGGTAACGCTCCTGATCCCTGGCGGGTCCCCAGCCCCTGCCTGGGACACTTACTGTTGCTTCTGCAGAATGATCCATCAGAAAGGAGTGAACCTGACAGACGTCAAGGTGAATGACACACAGGAGTTTGTTCAGGTGAGACCCCACCAGGAAGGCAGCCTGGAAGACCTGTGGCGGGTCAGGTAAGGGCAGCTCTGGGGGAAGCAGAGTTTGCTGGCGGGGCTGAAACAGAGGCCTTTTTGTCAGGCAGGGAAAACTGTCCTGGGTTTGTGCAGGAGGCAGCCCCTTCGGGGAGTGCTGCGGCTGCCCTGCAGCGCCCCAGTGCCCCGGGGATTTTGGTTCACGTGGATTCTGACCGGAGGCTTGTTCCTGTGCAGGAGCAGCTGTGACTCGGGTCGAATTGTGGCTCTGAAATGCTCAGGTGAGTGCCTTGCGCCTCCCCCGTGTCCCCAGGATCTCCTCCCGCAGGCAGCAGGTCCTTCGCTCCCACTCCACCCGCTTCCCTCACGCTCCAGCACGAGGATCTCGTGCCTGGAGCTTCCCCTCACTCCTGCTCCCGGGTGCCCTGCAGAGTGCGGGCTGCGCCCTGGCACCGCGCGGGTGGTGGGGGGGACGGACGTGTCCCCGGGACGGTGGCCCTGGCAGGTCAGCGTGTACCACGGCTCCCAGCACCGCTGCGGAGGCTCCGTGCTGGCACGCGACTGGATCGTCACGGCGGCTCACTGCGTGCACAGGTACCCGGGGGTGTCCTGTGCCCGGCCGCGGGCGCTGCCTCTGCTCTTACCTGCGTCTTGCCGGAGCTGCCTGGCTCGTGTTGCCCTGGGGTAAGCAGCTCCCTGTATTTCTGCTCAGTTACAGGCAGCTTCAAGCCTCCGCCTGGCTGGTTTTCGCAGGCGTTATCACCCATGGCTCGATCAAGCAGGAGGCCGGGTTATCAGTAAAGAAAATAATTTACCACCCACTTTATAATGACAATAGTCTCGACTACGACATTGCTCTCATGAAGCTCCAAGTCCCCCTGAATTTCACAGGTAAGATGCTGCTGTGACGCGGTTGTGTCCTCCTCCCATCTCCGGAGTTGTCTTATCCCACAATTAACCGATTGGCCAAACCTGCCACTCCAGAGCAGCTCTTCAGGGCCACCCAGCTGGCACTTGGCTCGGCAGCGCCGTGTTTCAGTCACACCTGAGCTGCGAGTTGCAGGGAAGGAGGCTGTGGGAGCTCTCGGTCCCGCGCGCCAGGCTGGGGCTCCGCAGCCCCCTCCCGGCTGCGTAACACAGAGCAAAGCCATCCTGGGCTGGCACTCACCCCCGTCACCTTCTTACCAGATGCCATCCGCGCGGTGTGCCTGCCCCGCTCCCACCAGGACCTCTTCCAGGGCGCGCAGTGCTGGGTCTCAGGCTGGGGCTACACCAGACCAGGCCAAGGTAAGCTCCCACCTCGTCCCCACCGCTCAGCGCCCTGGGGGCTTCCCCCTTGCTCCCCTCCAGCCCCTTCCATGCACATGTCCTGCCTTCAGGCCACCCCTCTGGGCCTGGCCCTATTCAATCCCAGAAAGTAATCCCGTTTTTCCCATCTTCTGACTTCTCCAGCTGGTGCCCTGCCCTTTCCTCTTGCTCCCTGCAGATCTCGTTCCTCTCTCGGCTTTTCTCCCTCCCCAGCGCAGGTCACCGAGACGCTGAAGGAAGCTCTCGTTCCCTTAATCGGTACCAAGAGGTGCAACAGTTCGTGCGTGTACGCGGGGGAGCTCACGGCCAGGATGCTCTGTGCTGGCCACCTGCGGGGGACGGTCGATGCCTGCCAGGTAACAGGGGGGCGAGGGCTGCCCGTGCAGCGGGGGCCAGCGGGCACCGGTTTTGCTGCACCAGCCCCGCGCTCCCGCAGGGTGACAGCGGGGGCCCCCTGGTCTGCCGGGACGGCCCCGCCTGGCGCCTGGTCGGCGTCGTGAGCTGGGGCCAGGGCTGCGCTCAGCCCAACCGCCCCGGCGTCTACGCCAACGTGGCCCAGCTCCTGCCCTGGATTTACCACGTCACCGAGGTGAGGGGGAGCCTGACCCGCGGCCACGCATCTCGCAGCACAAATCCCGGTGCCAGCGTCCTCTGAACCCTCCCCTGCCCTACGCTCACCCCTGACCTGTGAGCCTCTGGGACAGCCTCTCTTACGGTCATGATTCGTGTTTTCTTTCTGTTTTTTTTGACTAGATCTACTAGAAATGAGGCAAGGAGAGACTTCACAGAGCAAGACTTTGCCTTTTCCACGTAGTAAGTGGGGAACAGCCCAGGACTAATTCACAGTGTATTACTATAACCCTAACAGAGTCTGCAGACAACACTAGGAAATGTGTTCAGTATAAATAGTTTATTAAAGAAAATAGCAAATTCCATTTCTGTGAACAATCCACGTGGGAGAAGTGGTGTTTTTCAAAATACGTGGGGTTTTCGATTGTAAAGGGGCAGAGGATCCCGTGAGATGCAAGGGTTACAGGAACGCTCTCAGCCTTCTGATAAATTACTTAGAGGAGGAAGAAAAAACTAGGGTTTGAAGTGGCAGTCAGATTTTGCTTCAGTATCTGCCTCCCTTGCTGCGCTCCCGTGTGCTGGACTCGGTGGAACTGCCACTTCGACTGCTTTTCCCCCTCCCTAGGCCAGTTTGAGCCAGGAACAGAAGGGGCTCCTCACAACTGGCACCGCCTGCCCCCTGGCTGTATTTTAATGCTCTCTCAAAAGAAAAGTACCCTTCTCAGAGACTCAAACATAGCCTTTTGTAACTTTAAAAGAGAATGCTGAGTGCACACTTCATTCCCTTTTCATATTTATTTACATTTCTTGCTTTATTCTTCAAGAACAGAAAATTTACTACCAGAAAGACAACAGAGACAACCTAGCTCACACGTAATAAAAAGGTGAAGGAAGGAGGTGAACTGGTTTCTTTCCACAGTTGGTAAAGTGAGATTGAAAAGTTCTAACTCAGTTTTAAGGTATTTTCCATGAGAAATAAAGCCACAAAGAATTTTGCCAGTTGTGCAAAACCCTGTGACTTGATTAAACAGTTCACTCGGAACAGGATCTCCTCTCCCCCCACCCCCCCTAAATTTTCACTCTGTTGAGGTTCAGCTCTCCGGGGAAAGCCGAGGTGGGGAAGAGCGAAGTTTGGCACTTCAGCATTCTTAGGAGGATATCAAAAGCTATCACAGTCTGTGGGTTTCATGTGGAATTTGGAGGGACAGAGGAGGTAAGACACGAAGGGGCTACATGCCCCCTGCTGTAAAACTGCATAGATAAGATTCACTATTGAGAAACAGAAATCCCCTACAAGCCCCTTAAGCAAGCTCAAGAAGTCATCCAGCACCATGCACGAGGCTCACTGGACAGCGGTGGCTGTTCTCACACAGAGATGTGGACACAAGACTCGGAGTATTTCCCTGTGCTGGGCTTAACAGGGAGACGAAATCCTTGAGAATGGAGATGAGCAAACATCACTGAAAGCATCTCTTCCTCACCAGGACTGTACACCCACCAGCTCAGGAAGGAAAACCTGGATCGGGGCAGAACCTCTCTGGGGGGGAGCATGGCGGGAGATGGAATTTTCAAGCCCAAACTCTGTCTCCCTGGCAGATGGAGCGTAAGCACTTAGTGTCCGTGCGTTACCCACCTTTGCTCTTCTGGTCCCGGCCTCCCAGAGCCATCCTCTTTGCCCTACAAACATTGAGCTAGGAAATGTTTCTTGTCCCTCAGTCAAGCCTCCGGGAAGCACTTACCTAATGCTAAGCTTTTTGATACCAGTACAAAGAAGAAGGGTCAAATCCAAAAAAACATCTGAAAGACTCAGTTTGCTCTTGCGTTATCAGAAGATGCACCATGTAGGAGTAAGCGCGGTTACTTAATTTTGGCCAGTGCTGCTGCTCTCCTTTCTGTGTTCTGGAACAAGGCTCGGATCAGACTCTTCACTTCAGCTGCTGAGAATTCAGCTGCAAGAGGCCCCTTCCCGTCCGCCCACCTATGTGGGAGAGAAAGATCTTTATTTAACCCAACTGCACAGAAATGTCATGTTAAAACAAGTCTTCCGAGCACCTATTACAGTAGTAAGTCTGAAGGCAAACCAAATCCAGCCAGCAGCCTAGTAGCTGTATGCAGCTTGAGCCCACAAATGTTCAGCTGTCTATAAAGGCTGGAAGGTGACTTTTGCACTCAAACTGTACCTTTTCCTTCTCCAAAGTAAGCCTAAAGCCTGTCTGAAAAATTCCCATTCACCTCCCAAACAGGAAATTAAAAAAAAAAAAAAAAAGTGGCTTATGCCCAGGTGGAAGCAGAGTTGGGAACCTCTGGTGTCCAACAGGGTTCCAAGAGCAGCAATGAGCAGGGGGCAGCAAAGGAACTGCCCTCCCTGTGCTCTCCCCAGAGCCGGTACCTCTCCTGCTGAGGACAGCAGCTTCAGACGTGTGCGTGAGGCAGCTGTGAACAGGGAATGTCTAGCTCCTGACAAGGCGTGCCAACTAAAGTAATAGAAGTAATTATGCAAATTCTCATGTATAAATTCAGATGAATCCTCCCCGCAAGTTAAAAGAACAAGAACCAGCATCTAAAAAGCAGAGGCCAACCATGTGGAAAAGCGCAGCAGCAAGGCATAGCTCACATCAGAAGCAGCAGGCAAAACGCCAGGCTGCTCACCGCGAGGTGCTGCTGCACTCGGAGCCGGGGGCACGCGCCGCCACTCTGGGGCTGGCTCTCCCGTGGCACTCGGGTTTTTCCTTGGGTTGCCTTTTCCTTTGCAGGGAGCAGCTGAATCTATGAGCACACACAGCCAGGAAACAGCCCCAGGAGCAGTGACCTGATCCTTAGGAACAGTGATTGCCTTTCAGGTGAAGAGAGTCCCCCGAGTGCAGCGCCCGGCTGCTGTCAGACCCCTCCCCGTTACCGGGGCAAAGGACCAGCTGAAAAGGCAGGAGGCAGACAGACACCTACTGATCTACTATTTCTTGGAGGTTGGCTTGCAAGATGATCATCAGCTCTTTGAACGTCATCCATTTCTGCACATAGACTGGAACCTCCTCTTGGTATTTCTTATTTTTGTCATCTTCAGGTAGCGGAGTGAAAACTCGGGGCCCTTCCTCCACCATAGTCCTGCAGAGGGAGTACAGCTTATCTGCATCTTCTGCAGAGATGTCCTAGAATCGAACAAATGTTTACAGGGGAGCAGTTAGACACGTATGTGGCGTGCCAAGCAGTAAGTGAAAAAAGGTGGCTGTGCGTGTGAAGATGAAAGCAGCGCTTTAGATCACGTTTAGCGTTCTCAAGGTAACAGGACTTGTTTCAGGCATAGCTACTTCAGCAGGTTCTCAGCACCTGCCTCAGAACACTGGTTGTGCTTCTAAGCAGCGACTCTCAGTGCGGCAGCAAACGCTCCACTGTGAGGGGGGTGGTACAGTGCTCTGAGCAGTCTACAAGGAAAGTGCTGAGGCACTGCCAGCCCCAGGATGAAAGCCTAAGTGCCCTGTAAACTACCTGTTATGGGAAAAGAGAACTTACTGGCCTAATGCAGAATGAGGAGGCTCTCTGGATGTAGGCTGTGACTGGAACAGATGCACTAATACATTCCTATCGTTTGCTGCGGAAACGTATTTTTAATTAAGAAATGTAATAGGGTGGGTAGTTGTACTTAAGAAACGCAATGGGATAGTTGTACTTGGCCCAAGGTAACCTGACAAATCACTTAAACACAGTACTGGGAGCCAAATGGAGGTTTAAACAGAGAAGAATTTCAGTCTGAAATGCCATGGGTATTTCTGGCGCCTAGGTGGGATGCAGAGGGTCGTGAGAGATGCACAGACTGAAAATATATCCAAATAACTCGAGTCTAAGACAAGGGTTAAATCTCGTGCCCTGAACAAAGAGATCAGTTCACAGAAGTGTTTAGAGCAGGACACACCTACATCCAAACTAGGATGAAATCACAGCCGCTTCCCTGACTCTGCCCTCGACTACGTTCATGGAATTGCTGTGAGAGTATGTACGGTCTCAGCTGGGTCCGTCAGCGGCACCTTGAACACTTCTCATCGACGGGATCATAACTGTAATTTCTGTGAAACTGCCCCCCCTGAAACCTGACCTTGGAAAGAAGTTCGAGAGGTCCCACGCACTAGTTGTTCTCGGGCAGTTACCTCCAGGGCAGCGATCCTAGCGACCATCTCCGTGAGAGCCGTGTTCAGCAGCGTCCCCATGGCCTTGCAGTACACGTTCACTGGAAGGACGTCCTGCCAGACTTTCCCCAGTCTTTTCAACTGATGCAATACCTGGAAGGTAACAGCTAAGTGTTATCTGCATCTTATCAAAAAGGACGTTAAGAGAGGCACCAAATAAAGTGACTACAGATGGTCAGAAACCAGTCGGAAAGCGAAAGGCAACGAAGCATCCTGCTATCGCACAGAGCAGATGTTCTTGGGGAAGATGCCACGTTTCAGGTTGCATTAAGGCTCATCAACAGCGTGACAGATCTTTTCCTCGAAAAATGAAAAACATTATAAATGTACTGTTAACAAAAAAGATGAAGACGCTTTTCATTTCAATTTGGAGCAAGAGGAACTGAACTCAGAATGCTTCAATTTTACAAAAAGATACAGCCCAGGAAAAAAAAAAAAAAGCCATGCCAGAAAATTGTTTGGAAAAGTTCCACCCTGCTGAAACACCGCACAGGTCTCAGGACTGAGGTTACGCACTGTAGCTTCCCAAGGACATCTCCAGACAGGGGGAGATTTGCTTACCTGCCTTATCGCTTTGTTTGCTGCACAGTAATTTTCCTCGTCATCCATATTAGAAAAATTCCGAGCACTTGACAACCTCTCCAGGATTTCTCCTCTCTGCACTCGCATCTGGGCCAGAAAACACTCCATCCCTTTAGGAGCACAAACAAGCAGAGAGAAGCAATTAAGCAATTACTAAATTTGCTCTGCCAATTTAGACATCTTAAGTGCTGAATAATGAGCTTGCTACAGTGTTTTATTTTTAAAGGAATTTGCAGTCTCTAAACAGACTCACAGAGCAAATTTCACCAGGCCCAGTCACGTATTTGGTAAGCTCTTACACAGCTTAAATTGCTACAACACTTTTTCAAAAGAGCCGAGGAGCAGAATTAGCTGTGGACGACGGGCTCAATCAAACTTATCGCAGAATCTGTTTCCATAAGAACACAGGAAAGGACTGAGCAGCAGATCCCAAAATACCTGAGTGCCACAACACCTCACTGGATAATCAAACCGCTCTTGGAACTCTGTGCTGGACAAGAGGAGCTGGGTTTCAAAGAGTCAAGCTTACTGCTTGGGTCCTAACCCTCTGTCAGACTTTCCAATCTAGAAAACGCCCTTGCTACTTGTCCAGAACTCTTAAATAACAATCTGCTGCTTCAGTCAGTAGACACGTTAAACCACTCAGCAACAAATGCTAGGATTAATTACTACATCATCCATCAACATATCTCAATACTGAAGGATAAACTTGCCAAGTCTCCTGAAACCAGGTACCATATCTACGAAAGTAGCTGCTCCGTCGCAGAGGATGTTGGTCAGGCGGTACCGGAACTGGTGTCCCAGGGTGAGCAAGTGGTGAGCAATATACATGCAGTTGTTGTGGTGAATGGCTGCCAGCTGGGGTAATTTCTGAAGGTTCTCCCTGTCCCAGGAAGGAGGAAGAGAAAAGAAAGAAATGTCCTTATTTAGACCTGACTCTGTTAAAACAATTATCAAGCCTACCCTAGAGAAACTCTCGGTCTGTCTCGGATGTCTCAGGTAAGTAACGGTGGGCAGCGTCTGATAAAAACATCAGTTGGAATAAAAGCATTTAAGCTCCTGTCCCAGGCACGCAAGAACTTAACAGGAAAGGAGCTGCATGGCCAGAGAAAAGGCCCGTCCGTGTTCAAACCATCTCTTACATCCAGAGTGTTTCTAGCAGTGGACTTTCACACAGGAAAGCTATGATGAGGAAAGGAGAGAGATTTCCAGTGATACCCCAGTGTCCTCTGACAGAACTGCAGGCTTTCAATGTTCGCTGCTGTTCTTTTTTACAGGAAAAACACAATGAAAAAATCTGTGCATCAGACCTGGGGTCAGAGTTACGTGGCTGGACTCAAACACAACCGTTACACAAACTGCAACTACCTGTCCCGACCGCCAACTAAGACACTCCCCAGCACCTCCTCCGCAGCAGGTACGACGTCACGATCGGCACTACTGGCCTTCTGCTGCTGGAGGAAGCCCTTAGAAATCTCTGGCTGTGCTGGACAAACTGGGGACAAGTGGGGCTGTTCCAGGAGCATCTCTCTCTCTCCAAAACGGGCCCCAGGTAATACACACACACTTACCTGTGGTATGTTGGCACCACATCATAGAACAGCTGGAATATATTCCGTACAGAGTAGAAGAGCTGTATGCAGCTGCAAGGAAAATAAGGTTCACGTTAGTTTGTCAGTGAAATTAGCATCTTGTTCACAA